AAGAAGGTGGGAATGGTCACAATGTGAAATGCTGTGGAGGTCAAGTAGGATAAAGACTGAGGAGTGTCCTTGGATTTTGAAAACAAGTAGGTCATGGTGACATTTCTAGTATAATTTTTCAACATATATAATTTCTAGTATAATTTTAGTCATGTAGTGAGGACATAAGCTAGATTACAGGAGTTCAAGGAATGTGTGCATGCAAGAAATAAGGAAGTAGAGATTGATCATTCCCAGGCCTTTGGTTTTCATGGACCATTGAAATTACACACACACACACACACACACACACACACACACACAACAGTGGCATTGGGAGGGTGGAAAGCTGATATAGGGCTGTAAGAAATATTTTTAACACCAAAAAAGATGAAAAGAAGATAATTCCAGAATAATAGGCAGTCCTTTAAATTGAGTAAATGTAACTTTATAAGAAACACTATATATTCCAAATATTTCTAATTTTGCCGTAAGTGAATGAAAGCTCCTTTATGCAAGGATGCTGACATATGGAGATGATTGAGATCAACTTCTTCATTTGTTCAGCAACCAATCAACGTGTATTTACTGAGTGAGGCCCTATCCTAAGTGCTCGGGATATACTGTTGAACAAAAAAAGAACATGAACCCAGGCTTTATGCAACTTATAGACTGGTTATAGACTAGTTGGGGGGAGGGGTCATTCAACAAAAAATCTTCAAATGTATATTTATGAATTGTAATAAATAGTATAAAAGACATTTTAAAAATTAAAAAAAAGAGGGAGATGCCTGGGTGACTCAGTCGGTTAAGCATCTGACTTCGGCTCAGATTGTGATCTCACGGTTTGTGAGTTTGAGCCCCACATCCAGCTCTATGCTGACAGCTCAGAGCCTGGAGCCTGCTTCGGATTGTGTGTCTCCCTCTCTCTCTCTCTCTCTGCCCCTCCCCCATTCACACAGTCTCTCTCTCTCTCTCTCTCTCTCTCTCTTTTTTCTTTCTCTCTCTCTTAAAAATAAACATTAAAAAAATAAAAATAGGGGTGAGTGGGTGGCTCAGTCGGTTAAGCATCCGACTTCGGCCTCAGGCCACGATCTCATGGTTCGTGGGTTTGAGGCCTGCATTGGGCTCTGTGCTGACAGCTCAGAGCCTGGAGCCTGTTTCAGATTCTGTGTCTCCCTCGTGCTCTGTCTCAAAAATAAACATTAAAAAAATTAAATAATAAAAATAAAATCGTATGAAAGAAAAATGCAGCATGTCAAAATAGGTTACAACAGGGGGACCTGACCTAGGATGGGGGTCAGGGCAGATTTCCCTAAGAGACATTTAAACTGAAATCTGAACTTCAGTAGACATGATGTACATGATGAGGGTAGGCAGGGTAGAGTGTTCCGAGCATGTGTGAGACTTATGGGTATTCAGGAGCATGGACAGTATCTGGGACTAAAATGTCAACTCTTTGGAACAAGAGCAAGCATGGTGCAAGATAAGGTTGACAAGGTAGGACGAGGCCAGGTCAAGGCCTAGTAGACCACCATATGGATTTTAACTTTGATCTAAGAGCACTAGAAGCCACTGGAGGATTTTCAGGAGAGTGACATTGTAATATTTGTATTTGTGAAAAATGATTCTTGGCCATGAGAGAGTGGGTGGAAGAGGGAGAAATAGAGGTCAGGAGGTATGCTAGGAGGCTTCAAAAGTAGTTTAAGTAAGAGATGGACCGTAGCAGGACTAGAGGAGATGGAAAGAAGTGGATAGACGTGACCGACACTGTTTTTTAAATGTTTATTTATTTTTGAGAGAGACAGACAGAACGCGAGTGGTGGAGGAGCAGGGAGACACAGAATCCGAAGTAGGCTCCAGACTCTGAGCTGTCAGCAGAGCCTGAAGCAGGACTCGAACCCACGAACCTCGAGATCATGACCTGAGCCAAAGTCAGAGGCTTAACTGACTGAGCCACCCAGGCACCCCAACAGACACTTTTTAAAAAAAAAAAATGTATTTATTTATTTTGAGAGAGAAGAAGAGCATGAACCTGGGAAGGGCAGAGAGAGAATCCTAAGCAAGCTCCACGGAGCCCGATGGAGGGCTCAAACCCACAACTCTGAAATGAAGACCTGAGCTGAGCTCAAGACTTGGACGCTTAACCGACTGAGCCACCCAGGTGCCCCTAAGATTGATTTATTTGTTTGCTTATTTATTTATAGATTTCTTTTTTATTTTTTAAGTAATCTCCACATCCAACATGGGGCTTGGACTCACAACCCCAAGATCAAGAGTCCCATGCTCTACACAGAGCCAGCCAAGCACCCCTACAACAGACCTTTAGAAGGCAACCTGAAAAGGACTTGGCTAAGAGTCTCAGATGGACACCTGGATGGATGGTGGTTCCATTTATCAAGAGAGACACATTTGCTAAGGAAATCATATGTTCAGAAACCCATGGAATTTGGTCGAGAAGTGAAAGAGAGTGAAAAACTGGTAGCTAGAGAAGTTGGTGGGATCAACTGAAGACATTTGAAGACTGATAAGAGAGATTTATAAATGTACAGATTTATAGACTTCTTAATGTTGAAGTGCCCCAGAGCTTAGCTCATGGTCTTTATTTATCCTTACTTTTTTTTTTTTTTTTAGATTTTTAAATTTATTTATTTTGAGAGCAAGAGTGTGTATGTGAGTGGGGGAGGGGCAGAGAGAGAGAGAGAAAGAGAGAGAGAGAGCGAGCGGGATAGAGAAAATCCTAAGTAGGCTCCACACTATTAGCACAGAGCCTGATGCAGGGCTTGAACTCACGAACCATGAGATCATGACCTGAGCTGAAATCAAGAATCAGATGCTTAACCGACTGAGCCACCCAGGCAGCCCTAGATTTTTTTTATTTTGAATTAATCTCTACATCCAACATGGGGCTCAAACCTGCAACCCCAAGATCAAGAGTCGTTTGCTCCAGGTACCCCTATCCTTACTTCTTTATGATCTCATCCACTGTCATGGCTTTAAACACGGTTGACCCTTCAACAACATGGGTTTGAACTGCACTGGTCCACTTATATACGCATTTTTAAAAACATATATATTGTAGTACTGTAAATGTATTTTTTCTTCCCTATGATTTTCTTAAATTATTATTTTTTAAGTTTATTTATTTGAGGGGGAGGGGCAGAGAGAGTGGGAGAGAGAGTGAATCCAAGCAGGCTTCACAACAGCAGCACAGAGCACAAGGTGGGGCTCGAACTCACAAACCCATGAGATCATGACCTGAACCAAAATCAAGAGTCGGCTGCTTAACTGACTGAGCCACCCAGGCACCCCTATTCCTTATTATTTCCTTAATAACATTTTATTTTCTGTCTTATATTCTAAGAATCCAGTATTCTGAATCCAGTACATACAACATACAAAATATGTTTATGCTATTGGTAAGGCTTCTGGTCAAGTAGGCTAGTAGTAAAGTTTTAGGGGAGTCAAAAGTTATACATGAATTTTTGAGTGCATGGAGGGGTCAGAGCCTCTAATCCCTGAGTTGTTCAAGGGTCAACTGTATACCTATATGCTAACAACTCCCGAATTTATAGATCCTTCTCTCCAGAACTCCAGGCTAATGTGTCCAACTTGTTATTTGAATTTTGTTTGGTTGTCTAATAGGCATCTAACTTAACATGTCCAAAATTGAAGTCCGGTTCTTAACTCCCAAATCTGTTCCCCCATAGTTTTCCCCAAGCCAGTTAATGGCAAGGCCATTTTCAGCTTGCTCAGACGTTTAAGGCCTTGGAGACATTTTGATTCCTTCCTTTCTTTCATGCCCCACATATTGTTGGCTGTACCTCCAAAACACATCCAGAACCTGACCACATTACATTACCTCTACTGCTACCACTCTAGTCCAAATCACCATCATTCTTTCCTGAGTATTGCAAGAGCTTCCTAGCACATCTCCTTACTTGTAACTTTGTGTCCTTTCCCACAGTCTAGCTTCAATTAGAGTGATCTCAGGCACACTCATGCCTTAGGAAGCCTTCACTGGCTCATGACTATCTGTACTGCTCTTCCCTGCGAACTCCCTCACCTAAAATCTAGTATCAGATAATCTTATTTGCTTTAATATCAGCTTCTCCCATGGAGCCCACACTGACCACACTGTTTCAAATTACAATTTGCCCCTCCACCCACTTCCTGATGCCTCTTACCTTGTTCGTTTATTTTTCCATGGTATGCATCATCTAACACACTATACACTGCAGTTATTGTATCTATTGTTTACTAATACCCACTGTCATTGCCACCCTAGCAGAATCGTTTATCTGTTTTCCCCCTGATGTAGTCTAATGTATGCCCATGACAGTACCTGGCATAAAGCAGGTGCTCAATTAATATTTGAATATATCAACAGAAGGAAAGAGGCCAGAATGGGGAGGTTGAAGCTATAAAAGGGGTAACTGACATGCCAGGATCTCTAAAATACAAATGGGTATGGAACCAAACACACACACACACACACACACACACACACACACACACACACACACACACACACACACCGCACACGGGACTATCTGCAGCACTAGAATGGTTCTTCCCAATACCACATCCTTTTGGGGGGAGGGGGGAAGGAACTTTCACATTTGTTTATTTTTACTCGCCATCTCTTTTTCAGCACAGTTTTTTTTTTTCAATACCACATCCTAAGGGTACCGTTTAGAGCTTTCTCGCTCGGTCCCCCACGCCCTGTGTTCTTCGGGGGCCCCTACACAGCACAGAACCTTTTAATCAATCATTTCTGAACTTCTAAGGTCCAGCGAAGTTCCTGACGCATATTACGTGCTCAAAAGAGGTTTTTGGGTAAATTTACCAATGTTTCTGTGCCCCCGACTACATTAGACTTCTTAAAAAGGAGACTCCGGACGTCACTCGCTCCAGCAGCCCTCGGCGCCGACACCGCCCACTTCGCCGCGAGAACTTAACCCGACGTCCAGCATTTATTACGTAATAAAACTGCGCCCTGAAGCCGTGGAGGGAAGAGGCGGATTGAGCAGGCTCCGGGACACGTGACGGGATTGGGCGGGGCATCAAGGTTCATATCCCAGAGTCCTTTGCACTGACTCCTTTTCCGACTCCTTGTTGAGCAAAGATGTCGAAGCGAGGTAAGTATCTGGGAGATCCTTCGCCATCTGTCGCGAGGTGGCTGCTGGTCGCGCCCGGAGCGGTGGCCACGGGCAGCTGTGGCGCTTTGCGCTCCTCCCGGGCGGAGAGGGAGAGGAGGGCCACGAGAGAGCGCTGGAAGGGCTGCCGAAAGCGGCTGGGGGGCCTGGCGGGTTGAGTTGGCCGGATCCGGACGGGGCTCTAGACCGAACCTCGCGGGGTCGCTCTGCGCCTAGAGCTCCAGTAATGGAATTGAAGTGGGGCTGGCTTAGGCCCCATGCTGGGCGACTTGTGCGGGCTCCCGGCTTGCAAGAAGAGCTACGTCGTGCAAAAGCTGGAGCGAAGATTGGGTGGTTCAGCCCCCTTACTCTCCACGTAAAGGCGGTAATAGTGTGGAATTGGCTGTTCGCCATGAGAACGGGGTGGCACATGGGGAGGGGTAGGTGGAATCCCAGAGAGAGGGAATTTAGTCTGCCGTTTCCCAAAGCACGTGCGAATGAATTTATACCTTACGAGTGAGGGCAACTCCGAACCATGACTAGACAGCGACCCCATTCTTGTGTTCCTTTCTACCCGCAGGACGTGGTGGGTCCTCCGGTGCGAAATTCCGGATTTCCCTGGGTCTTCCGGTCGGAGCCGTGATCAACTGTGCTGACAACACGGGTGAGACCTTCAGCTGCACCCTGCCAACACCCCCCCCCCCCCTTTTAAAAGCACTCGTTGGGCCTTGACTAATGACCCACTGAGCCGTCAAGAAAGGGCAGAGGAAAAACACTGCTTTTGGGTGAAGCAGCAGCATGCTGTGTTGTTTTGCTTCAATCGGTGGTGTGACAAGGTATTGCACCTTGGTCAGGTGTGGGGGGGGGGGCGACTAACTCTTTGGGAGTAAGAGGGGAGGGAGAGGGTCTGGAAGTGACGGGGTGGGGGGGGAAATGTTACACCGGGAGAACTGCTTAATAAGCTCTCCAAAAAAGTCATGTTTGTTTACATTTTTTTATAGGAGCCAAAAATCTGTATATCATCTCTGTGAAGGGGATCAAAGGAAGACTGAATAGACTTCCTGCTGCTGGCGTGGGTGACATGGTGATGGCCACAGTGAAGAAAGGCAAACCAGAGCTCAGAAAGAAGGGTGAGTGGAGGTCCTGAGTCCTCCTGTTGCTTGGTGGACAGGTGCCCTTTACTAGAAAATGGAACAGTTACTCTACCATTTTCAAGGCTTCTTAAAAGCTTGATTTTCTTTGAGAGGAAGTCTGAGCTATTTATCTGCAATTGAAGTTTTGCTCTTGGCTGTGTTAGAGACTATTCTCTTCCCTATCTGGTTTTGTTGTATCTGTCGCTTTTTTTTTTTTTTTTAATTGTTTTAAGTAATCTCTGCCCAGCCTGGGGCTTGAACTCATTACCCTGAGATCAAGAGTGACATGCGCTAGTGACTGAGCCAGCCATACACCCCATTGTTACATTTGTCCTTGTCCCCTTACGCCCTAAGTGTATTTGCCACACTGAAGTCAGGGCCCATCTTTTAAAAATGTAAGTCTGGGGTGTCTGGGTGGCTCAGTCAGTTAAGTGGCAGACTTCAGCTCAGGTCACAATCTCACGGTCTCTGAGTTCGAGCCCAGCGTCGGGCTCTGTGCTGAGAGCCTGGAGCCTGCTTCAGATTTTGTGTGTCCCTCTCTCTCTGCCGCTCCCCTGCTTTCTCTCTCTCTCTGTCACGAACTGAATAAATATTTGGAAAAAAAAAATTAAAGTGTAAGTCTTGGGGCACCTGGCTGGCTTAAATGTAAACCTTGGCTTGTCATTTCCCTACTTAAGTTCTTTCTTGGTTCCCAATACAAGCTGCGAGGAAGTACATATTTACCCTGCCATTTCCCTGAGTTCAGTGGATAGTTCTAAACCACATCAGGTACCTATATCTGTAGAAACAAAAGCCCTGTCCTTGTAGAACTTAGTCCTTCTTCATGGTGCCTTCTCCAGCTCTGTTGCTTTCAGGTCTTGATTTCTCCCTCCACCTTCCTTGGTGCTTCAGATCCTTTGTACTTTGTGCCTCCTGCCTGGAATACTCAAATTCAATCATCTTTAGCTCACTTCCTCGTTAACACATCTCCCCATCCACCAACACCCCCCCCGCCCCCCATCCTCCAGTAACCTAAATCCAAGTGGTATTTTTTGTGTAGCATTAGAGTTGTTTCTTCTACTTAAGTTCAGAAGATCAGGTAACTGTCTGGTTCATTGCTGATTTCTCAGCTACAAATGAATATGGTGGTGTTTAGTGTATATATATGTGTGTGTGTGTATAATTTAAAAAATTTGTTTTAGTATTTATTTATTTTTGGGAGAGACAGTGCAAGCAGGGTAGGGAGGGGCAGAGAGAGAGACAATCTGAGGCAGGCTCCAGGCTCTGAGCTGTCAGCACCGAGCCCTCGAACCCATGAAGTAGGGGATCATGACTTGGGCTGAAGTCAGACACTTAACTGACTGAGCCACCTAAGCGCCCCAGTTTTTAAGTAACCTCTGCACCCAGCATGGGGCTTGAAGTCAGGATCCCAACATCAAGAGTCACATGCCCTACCAACTGAGCCAGCCAGATGCCCCAGTAAATGTGGGGTTAGTTTGGTTTTTTGTTTTTTTAATAGGCATTTAGAGTTGACCAGGTGTCAGGCAAGTTTCCTTTACTGGAACTACTGATTTGAAAGGGAAGAATGAAAACTTGAATAAAGTGGTTGTGAGATTCAGATAAAGCGTGTAGAGTATTTGGCCTGGGACACCTAGCACTTTGTAAGTACAGAATAACATATTCTTCGTGTTTTAAGGCAGGTTCTTTTTATAGAGGAGATTAACTCAAGATTGTGACTTGTCAAAAGTTTGTCATGATTGCTTCTAAATCTCTTCTGGTAGACACTAAAACGGGGAGCTGGTCATTGCTTAATCCCCACTAGGTGTAGGAGTTGGTCGAGGGGAGGAGGTTTTGGGGCACTTCTGACTTGTAATGTCTTGTCTGGTTTTAGAGCTTCTGATACTCAGTGAACTTAACTTCAGCTCTTGGAACTTTCCTCCTGTACCTGTTTAGTCTGTCTGCCCTGGAATGTTTTCCTCTTCCTGAGGAGTTTGAGCTATCACTTGAATATACAGTACAAATATGATGGGTCTTGGCCACATACTGCAGTTACTCCTGGTAAACCTGCATAAACACACATCTCTACCGCTTGGTTTTTTTAGCCTTTGGGTCAAAAATCTTTGTTCTCCTTTAATACCACTTGAGGGTTTGGTAGGCAAGGAGTACCAAGCATTGTGGTTAAACATCGATTAATCAATGTGTAAATTGAGATCTACATGTGACTGGACAGGCTTTCCTCTTAGAACACTTGCTGGGTCTGATCTGTGGCCTGGAAAGCTGTCAGAGAAGGGCAGAGCAACCCGCTTGTCACCGTTGGTGAGATGGCAGCAATACATGTTGTTGGTCTCCATCTGATTATTGTGGGACAGACCAGAGAACACTTCATGGTTTTAAAAATAGTTGTGAATTTCCAACTCCATCAATGTCTTACTTGTTCTGGGTTCTGCCAAATGAATACATCCCCTCACGTTAGGCTTCCATATAGCAGAAACTTGAAATGCAGGCAGTGGAAAGGGGCAGTTTTGGAAGTCCAAAGTCTTAGATTTGTGTGGCCTTGTTCATCTGCTAGATTGGTCATTTGTGAGAATTTAAATGGTTATGAGTAGGGGTGCCTGACTGGCTCTGGGTAGAGCATACAACTCTTGATCTTGGGGTCATGAGTTCAAGCCCCATGTTGGGCGTAGAGTTTACTTTTTAAAAAATGGTTTTGAGTAGATAAGGGCTCAACAGGAGGCTCTTAGTAAATACTAGTTAACCCTCAACGTGTATTTCATTGTTAAAAACTTGATCAGAGTCTATGTATAGAGACAGTATTTGCCTCAAGGATAGCCAGGATCCCTGTCCTATAAAAAATCCTGTATTTGCAGTGTCTGACCTTGAATATGGCAATGTAACTGTTCCCTCTATTTTCCAAGAGGAAAACTTGAACCTCAGATTATTAAGTAACTTGTTCAGTGACTGTCAAGATTTGCATGCTGGGGCGCCTGGGTGGCTCAGTTGGTTGGGCGTCTGACTGTATCTCAGGTCGAATCTCGCGCTCTGTGAGTTCGAGCCCCACGTCAGGCTCCGTACCTGTCACTCGGAGCCTGTTTCGATTCTGTGCCTGCCGTCTGACTCTCTCCCGTCCGTTGCCTGTGCCAAGAAAGTAAATAAAGGCTAAAAAAAAAATTTTTTTTTTTAAAAATAAAAAAAAATTAAAAAAAAAAAGATTTGCATGCAGGTTGTGTCTGACTTTAGTTCTTTCAAGTGCAGTAGGTGAAGATCTGGGAAAGTGTTCACTTTACGTGCAGGTAAGTTTTTAGAAGTTACTTAAGACCCTGGAAAACAGTTCCTCAAAAAGTTAAACCCAGTTAATTACATAGGCAATAGAAGTTAAATTAAAATTGCCCAACTTTCAGACTTCCAAGAGATGATCACTGTTAATATTTTGCCGTATGTCCTTTTTTCTTGACTTCCGTGCAAAAAATTTCTTGTTTAAATGGGACCATGACCTTCCCATTAACCCATTCTTCTTGCTTCACAGATGATTGTACTACATATGAAAAATTACAGATAGCCCTAATGATTTTTAAATGATTCTGTTTTATGTTTTTGCCATGAGATAGATGGGTTAATTCCAAGTTTTTGCTGTATTAACATACGTATGTGCCCAGCAGTAGCAGTTAGGCATTTGAGATAAAGTAGAGTGTGTGGTCACGATCCTGGACGTACTCAGGGAGTTCAAGGAGTGTGTGTACACGTATGCACGCTAGAAGTTGCAGGGTTTCTTTGGCTAAATTCATGTGTAAATGAGCTGATATTTATATAATCTAACATGGTACATATTCAGTTCCAACATAATCTTGGAGGGCAGTAATTTTTACATCTAGGTGTGTATTTTCTTAGAAGTTTTTATCTGTACTGGGGTGGAACATTGCCTAATGAGTTAATAGCTTGGCCTCTCTACTTTTTCAGTTTTTTTGTTTGTTTGTTTTTTAACATTTATTCATTTTTGAGAGACAGAGCATGAGCAGGGAAGGGGCAGAGAGAGAGGGAGACACAGAATCTGAAGCAGGTTCCAGGCTCTGAGCTGTCAGCACAGAGCCCGATGCAGGGCTCGAACTCACGAACTGCAAGATCATGACCTGATTCGAAGTCGGACACTCAACTGACTGAGCCACCCAGGCGCCCCACTACTTTTTCAGTTCTAAAGGGGGTCCCATTTTGTGATACTAGGATCTTAACAGTCCCCACCTGTTGGGTGAAAGCATAGAAGGTGCTTAGCAAGTTTCCTGCTGGTATGTTGCTAATTGTTCTCCTGAAAGAAGGTCCAAATTTACACTTGAAGGAAATGCAGGCAGTTTTGACTTGGAGTAAGGTCTTTCCATAAGGGGCGATTGGTGTTTGATAAGGGGCTTGTCTCTCAGACTTGCTTTTAGGGAATGAAAAGCTAATGGTGAGTATGCATTCCGTCCAAATGGAAATGTTGGGGAACTGGGTGGGATGTAAACTGCTCTCTTGTGGTGGCACTGGGACAGGTTAAATGACTGCTACCCTTTTTTCCCTTGTAGTACATCCAGCAGTGGTAATTCGACAACGAAAGTCATACCGGAGAAAAGATGGAGTGTTCCTCTATTTTGAAGATAATGCGGGGGTCATAGTAAATAATAAAGGTGAAATGAAAGGTAAGAAAGTATCCACGTTGTTCCCTAGGTCTTTGAGATGGGACAATTTAACCTTGGGTCTGTCTGATCTTACCTGTCACCACATTCTTTTTTTATGCAGGTTCTGCTATCACAGGACCCGTTGCAAAGGAGTGTGCAGACTTGTGGCCTAGGATTGCATCCAATGCTGGCAGCATCGCATGATTATTTCCTTTATCTGTTTTAAAAAAGAAGTAAAAGTTATGTGCTCACAGTGTTTGCCTTCTTGTTCTCTTGTACACGTTACTCTTCTTGACATCACCTAGCCCTTGCTTCCTTTTGTAAAATGAAATTACTCAGTGCAAACTTTCTGGGGACGTGTGTGAAACAAGGATAAACAGTACTTGCACTTTTCGACTCTATAGACACTTACAGACTTTCCAATTTCTGCTGTAAAAACTTATTTGGGTTTGGAGTCCTTAAATCGCAGATAGTGGGTACTGTTTGATAGGAGGTTACCCCAGGTAACTGCCTTGCAATTCATTTGAGATAATGTAGAGTGAATGGTCAGATCCTAGACACACATGGAGGTCCAGGAGCAACGTGAGGAAGGACCAGATTCAGGTGTATAGATGCATATTTGTGCAGTTCTGGGTTTTGGGTAAACTGGCACATAAATGACTTTATTTGTAAAATCTAACATGTATGTAACTGCCATTGGGTTTGCTTTTATGAATGATGATTAAATTATTTTATTTTAAATTATCAGGTTTTTTGCTATCAAAACATTTTGACAGGATGGCTGTATAATGTACCTGCTAAACCTTAGTTCGAGGATAAAAGGTGATGGGGGCTCCTGGGTGGCACAAGCCAGGTCACAAGCTCACAGTGCCTGAGTTGGAGGCCCAGATTGCAGAGCCTGCTTGGGATTCTCTCTGTCCCTTCCCCACTCTAAACTTAAAAAAAAAAAACTTCAAAACCTTAAAAAATAAAAGTGATGTGATGATACCAGCACAGTGGGTGTAAACCTTGGCAAATTCTGCTTGAAGGAATTGGACATTGGTTTTTGTTTTTGTTGTTAAGAATCTAAAGCAGGCTCCACATTGAGCGTGGAACCCTACACTGGACTCAATCTCACAACCATGGCATCATGACCTGAGCTAAAATAGAGTTGGATATTCAACCAACTGAGCCACCCAGGTGCCCCTGTAACTTTTCTTTCTGAACCATGAGAAGATTTATGTGATGTTTCAAGGCCTGAGGAAAAATGACCATTTGGCAGGTTTGGGTCAATAGTGTGGCCTAAAGATGTTGGAATAGGCTTTTTAGATTGAGGTTTGTGTTCATGTATCTTATTTTCAGATTAACAGTATTCTGAGTTAATTTTTTTTTTTTCTATTTATTTTTGGGACAGAGACAGAGCATGAACGGGGGAGGGGCAGAGAGAGAGGGAGACACAAAATCGGAAACAGGCTCCAGGCTCCGAGCCATCAGCCCAGAGCCCGACGCGGGGCTCGAACTCACGGACCGCGAGATCGTGACCTGGCTGAAGCCGGACGCTTAACCGACTGCGCCACCCAGGAGCCCCAAGATTAACAGTATTCTGAAAATACCCAGCCTTAAGTGTTCTCTTGTAAGGCTAGAGATGAGAGTATGTAAGGACCCCAGCACATACTCCGTAAGATTACCCTTTTGTCCAAGATTCTGCATGGAATGTATTAGATTTAAGTAGTCCTCAACCTGAGGAGTTAAAAAGACATGTACAGGCAATATCACAGGCCAGTTAAGTCAGATTATAGAGGTAGGACCCAGACCTCAGTACCTTTTAAAGATTCCCCAGGAGATTCCGAGGTGCAGCAGCCAAGATTGAGATCTGGTGCTGTCTAGACGGAGCCTATCTTGTTTTAGAAATACATTCAGAAGTCTAAAACAGACCTGTCTTCCTCCTGCCCCCTATCCTCCAGCCTGGTGAGATTGAAGTCTTTAATGTGACATGAGATGTAAAATTAGTCCTTTTTATCCTGTTGTGTGAACTCTACATGTGAAATTTCTCACCTTCAAATAGGAGTGAGGGCTGGGTCTCTTCCCTACCTTGTCTTATGTCTTACATGTTCTGCCTGGGTCCATTTCAAGTTGTAACAGAGTAGACTCAAACTATAGACATTAACCTATAATTTCAGGTTTCTAGGAATTTGCCTTTCATGGTATAGAAACCTTAGATATGCTGAGTATTGCCAGAATTAGTGGTTTTCTGCGTATATAAAGCAACCTTTTCTAATACATGTGCCTTCATATAGTGAATATAAAAGACTTCTGATCCTGTTGTCTCGTGTAGGATAATCGCATCTCAGAGTTGGGTGTGAGGAGTAGTTTGAGGGTTAAACCATCTGTGTAAGAGCTTCTTCAAGGGGAAAAGTTGAAGGAAATAAAAATCACCTGTAGTCACAACAACTAGAGGAAATCATTGTTCATGGTTTGCTATATCCTGTCACATATACAAAAAAAATTAGCCAGGGGATAATGTGTCAACCTGCTGGTTTCTTGTGTTTTTTGTTGTTTTTTTGTTTGTTTGTTTTTGTTGTTGTTTTTTTAAATTTTTTTTTCAACGTTTATTTATTTTTGGGACAGAGAGAGACAGAGCATGAACGGGGGAGGGGCACAGAGAGAGGGAGACACAGAATCGGAAACAGGCTCCAGGCTCTGAGCCATCAGCCCAGAGCCCGACGCGGGGCTCGAACTCACGGACCGCGAGATCGTGACCTGGTTGAAGTCGGACGCTTAACCGACTGCGCCACCCAGGCGCCCCTGTTGTTGTTTTTAAGCTGGAGGAGGAATACTAGCTGATGGAAATAATTGGGTTGGGTGGGGAGAAGTGCTTTACGAGGACTTCCTGGAAGTCAGGAGACCTGAATTCTGGCTCTGGATCCACCACTAAGTGGGTTTAGGGAATATCCCAATGTTTCTTGAGCTTCAATTCCCACTTGTGTAAAATGAGAGTCGGAAGTAGATGCTATCTGAACTTTCTGATCATTCTGGGTACAAACAAGCTTCTCAAGGAGACGGAGTTTGGGAAATGTATATAGTAGGGTGGGGGTGGGGCCCAGTTGCGTTCACACTGCCCAAGTTCTGAATCCCCCTCTTCAATCTCCAACTCCTCTTGCGTGGCCTCCTGTTGGTCATCCTTCACCTCACGGCCACGCAAGCAACTTCCCTCACAGCCCTGGGGGTCTACCCTATTAGATGGGGCCATAGGGTTTGTGTCTCAGGAGTCTCTGACACGTCACAATGCGCAGGGGAGCCCCTACCTAGGGCCCTCAATTCCCACCAGAAAGGCCCTCGGAGGCTGTAGTGGTTGGGATGTCGCGCGTGTGCGAGTGTCCTCTGCGGCTGGAAAAGGGCTTCATCTTGGATGGTGTGGCCGTGAGCACCATGGCCCGCACCTATGAGCGCCTGAGGCCCAAGGTCTGGTCGGCGATTCCGCCCTACAACGCTCAGCAGGACTACCACGCCCGCCGATACTTCCGGAGCCGCGTGGTTCCGCCAGTGCTGCGCCGGACTGAACAGGTTATTTATAAGAGTGCCCCGGACGATCCCACTGTCTGTCCCCACAGAGCTCGACCCTGTGGCGGGGCGTTTTACCCCTCGGGCGGGCCCTCCCACCTCCTCGGTTTTCTTACTGAACCCCCGGAACTGGCGCAGGCGGATGACAGGTATTGAGTTCACTGGGCTCACAAAATCACTTTCCATCCCTGAATTTGAGAATGTTCCCATTTTGGGTTTCTGCAAGCCTTAGCGAACGGGCCTGGAACCTGGCCTCTCCCAAACAGATCGGTGTCATTGTCCTTTTTGACGTCATGGACCCGACCTTGGGGTGATCTCGCACCACAGATTCTCTAAGAGCGCGAAAATCCTTGTGACCTCAGCGAACACCTGCCAGGCGGGGCGCCCTCCATCGGTGACGTCATAGCTGCAGAGGCGCCCCCTCGATGGGACCTTCTGTGAGCAGGCAGGAAGGAAGCTTCCCGAACCTCTGCTACCTCACTGTCCCCAGCCCTTTCCCCTCGTGGATGTTGCCCCTTCTCAGCAGAGTCCTACCCGGGATCAAAGATCCTGACGCTATTTGCTGATGGCTTCAACACCTTTGCCTCCAATATTTCTGTCTCCATATGTCACAGTGGTATGGGTAGGGGAGAGGAGGGCTTAGCGGGGGTTATTCTGGGAACAAATCTTGGGTTTTTTGTGTGTGATCTCAGTGTTTGTGTCTGCGTGTATATCGCATGTATATGGACACATCTGTATGTGCCATGCTTGAGGGTGTACGTGTAATTACTCATGTAATTTTTATGACAGAACCAGAGTCTAGGAGGAAAAAGGAGAAAAACTTGAGTATTTAAAAACTTGAAAATAATATGGTGTGCACACTTTTTAAATTTTCCATTTGTAAGTATTTAACCATCACAACTGTTTGTAGTAGGTATTACTTCATTTGCATAGAGATAATGGGGGTTTGGGGCTCCTGGGTGGCTCAGTGGTTTAAGCCTCTGACTTTGGCTCAGGCTCAGGTCATGATCTCACAGTTCGTGGGTTCAAGCCCCGCTTTGGGCTCTGTGCTGACAGCTCAGAGCCTGGAGCCTGCTTCAGATTCTGTTTACCTCTCTCTCTGCCCCTCCCCTGCTCGCATGTGCTCTCTCTCTCCCTCTCCCTCTCTCTCAGAAATAAACATTAAAAAAAATAATAATGGGGATTTTTGTTTATTTTTTTGTTTTGTTGTTAAGTAAACCCTGCCCCCAATGTGGGGCTTGACCTTACACACCCAACATCAAGAATGGCATGCTCTACAGACTGAGCCAGCCAGGCTTCCCCAAATAATGTATGTTTGTTTGCTTGTTTATATTTTGAGAGAGAAGTGTGCAAGTGAGCGAGGGGCAGAGAGAGAGAGAGGGAGTGGGGCTCACAGAAGTGGGGCTCACCCGAAGCAGAGCTCGAGCTCACCCGATGTGGGACTTGAACTCACAAACTGTGAGATCATGACCTGAGCCAAAATCAGATGCTTAACGACTACGCCACCAAGTTGCCCCAATAATGCATATTTTTAAAGTAAATTAAGTAACGTTTACTATGCCAGGCCCTTTGTTGAAACTATCTCACTTAAATCTCTCAGCAACCCTCCTTAAAGCCAGGAGGAAATTGAGGTCCAGAAAAGCTGTGTCATTGGCCCAGGGTCACACAGCTTGTTAGTGGCAGAGCTGGACTGGAACCAGTCTGTCTGGCAACAGA